TTTATTCCTCTTTCTCTGTCATTCTGCCTTTCAAATAAAAAAGTCTTAAAGAAGAAATGCCACATTTGGGTGGAAGGCAACCGGTAGATTTGAGCAGACGTGAGCCAGTGCCCTGCCCCCCACGTGTGTGTGAATCCCTGCCCTGCACACGGCCGGGATCCTTCTCACGTTGTGATTTCTGATCTTTCCATGCCAGGTGCCCTGTGCAGACGGCCCTGCGTGCCTCTGCAGAAGCCAGGATTGTGCCCCGCAGGGTATCACTCTGCGTGTCTCACGCGGCTCCGATTCCAGTACGTTCTCTGCCTCGCCGGCCTTCCTGGAGGGCCAGGGCTGTTTCTCTTCCGCTGCCGTCACTGGTTTTGTTCAATTTGTGCTGAGAATTCAGCACCGTTTCCACTCAAGAAAGAGGCGTGGTGTTTTAGGAGGATCTCCCCGCCCCCGTGCCTGGCCGCACCAGAATTCCTGGGCGGTTCTGTGTCGTGTGGCTGTTACCCTGTGGCCAGTGTGGCTGCGGGGTCTTCCCGAGGCACTACGGTGTCAGGTGCTCCGGGAGAGCTCGGTGTCTCCCACGGCCCCAGACTGCGTTCTCGCCTCCCTGCTGCCCTCTGGTCCACGGCAGTGCTGGCCTCTGTGTCCTCTCCTGTCCCCTCCCTGCAGCGTTCCTCTCTCCTCCCCTGTGTGTTCTCGTCCCTCCCCTCGGCACGTCCAGCGGGAGTCACAGGCAAGGCCTCGGCCTCATGTCCAGCCCTGGGTGTGAATCCAGCCTGCCTGTGACTTGGCCCAAACCTCCCAGCCTCTTTGTGCAGAACAAGCAGAGGAGTCAGTGACAGGAGGTGCTGAGGGCGTGTTTGCAGGTGTGAGATGGCGCCTCCCTGTGGTGACGGCCCAGGGACCCCGTGTGACCCTTGGTGTCTCCCAGTGCTGTTCTGACACATGCACCCCATACGCCCACCCTTCCCTCCCCTCCCTCTGTGGCTGAACCTCCGGGCCGTCCCCTAGCTTTCCCGGTCACTCCTGGGTAAGGAACAGTCCAGAATTCTAGACTCAATTCCAGCTTGCAGCTTCTGCCCTCCTGACCTGCACCGCACAGGTCTGGCCAGGACAAGTCGTCTTGTTGCTTCTGTCACTGCCGCTGTTTGCTCTTCCCAGCCACTGCCCTTGCTTGTGGTCCTGCGGGGCTGGCAGGCGTGGTCCCGGGAGAGGAGGGGCAGAGGTGAGGACAGGTGGGGTCCTGCGAGGTCAGGCTGTGAGCTTGGTGGAACAGGCGGAGGACGGTGAGGCCAGCTCTCAGCAATGCTGGGTTGGGGTCTGGCCGTGAGTCTCTAGGCTTGGCAGGCTGCACAGGGCTGTGGGAGGTCATGGGCAGGCCCCTCCTGCCAGTGGCCCTGAGGGGTCTGTGCCTGCTCAGCTGTCTCCGTCATCACCTCAGACTCTGCCCCCCATGACAGGAAGGTGGCATTACCAGCTGGAGACGCTCCCCGAAGGACCACTTCACGGAGTCCGTGTCAGGCCCGTGGGAAAGCCGTGTGTGTGCCCGTCCAGCCATTGTTTGGAGGTGGCTGGACCTCAGTGTGGCCCAGCTGCCCCTCCACCCTCTCGTCCCCTGTCCCTGTTCCCCAGGTCCCCTCCCCTGGCTGCAGAGCGGGGCCTTTCCTGCCCTGCCCAGGAGGTCACACAGCGTGACTGCCTCTCTGAAGCAGGCAGAACACTGGACAGAGGATGAGAGAAGCAGGTTGGGCAGGAAAATCCAAGACCCACAAGCGCAGAGGGAAGCTCACTGCACCAGTAGGTACACTAGGAAACCGAGAGAAGCTTCTAGATGCACTGGTAAACTGAGACAGACAAAGCAAACTTAGGACACAGTCTCTATATTCCAGCTCAGAGAAGGTTAAAAACACGCCTTGAGCAAAATCCCTAGCGTACGTGGCACGTGATCTGTGTGAGTGAGAGGTGATGGCCCTGGTGGGAGAGTGGTTTGCAGTATGTCTTAAAAACGCTGTGTGCCAGGCCGGCACCGCGGCTTAGTAGGCTAATCTTCCACCTACAGCACCGGCACACCAGGTTCTAGTCCCGGTCAGGGCGCCAGATTCTGTCCCAGTGGAGGATGGCCCAGGTCCTTGGGCCCTGCACCCGCATGGGAGACCAGGAAAACCACCTAGCTCCTGGCTTGGGATCAGCGCCATGTGCCAGCCGCAGTACGCCGGCCGCAGCGGCCATTGGAGGGTGAACCAACGGCAAAAGGAAGACCTTTCTCTCTGTCTCTCTCTCTCTTTCTCTCTCTCTCTCTCACTCTCACTCTCTCACTGTCCACTCTGCCTGTCAATAAAATAAATAAATAAACAAAAAAAAAACAAACAAATGCTGTGTGCCGGGGCCAGCACTGTGGCATAGCCAGTAAAGCCGCTGCCTGTGGTGCCGGCATCCCATATGGGCGCCGGGTCGATTCCAATCCAGCTCTTTGCTATGGCCTGGGGGTGCAGGGAGGGGGGCAGTGGAGGGTAGCCCAAGTGCTTGGGCCCCTGCACCTGCGTGGGAGACCCGGAAGAAGCTCCTGGCTTCCGATGGACACAGCTCTGGCCATTGCAGCTGTCAGGGGAGTGAACCAGCGGATGGAAGACCTCTCTCTCTCTCTGCCTCTCTCTCTCTGACTCTCTGCCTCTCTTCTCTGTGTAACTTTCTCTACCTCTCAAATAAATAAAATCTAAAAAAACAAAGTCGCTGTGTGCCTTGGAACAGCACCCCACCTGCACCAGGTGTCCCAGAGAAATGCTAGCGACATCAAGAGTGCTCTGCATGCATGGGCTCCCGATGGAGCGTTGGTCTCTAAGCAGTGCGGTAGAACACGTGTTTACATGGCACTTTTGCGGTGGTGGGTGTCAGAGGTCACTGTGGGCCAGGGAATCCTTAGGACTCCTGGAGCCCATTCCCCACAGCGCTGAGGGACAGTCACATAAGTGCTGGAATGTGAGTTACTGTGCTGCTTTCACTGTTTTAAACACAGAATTGAGTGTCCATCAGAGAGAGAGAAACAAAACGAAGTGTGGTAACGCAGTGCACGAATCAGATAGGATAAGCAGCAGTGTAGGTCGGAAGTGCTTCAGACATGCTAGCAAGTGCAAAAGGTACAAAAGTCATGTGAAGCCTGCTTTGAAGCAAGAAAATGGAAAAATCAGGACTGCTCCTTACGTACATATTTAGGTGTTTGTAAATGCATAGAAAAAGTTTAAAATTAAAAGTAAAACAAAGTTTCAAACTGATAAATGATGGCTTTTGATGGGGGGACTGGAAGTGGGCAGGGAGGCCAGGAGGGACTGTTAGAGTGTAGGAGGGACTGTTGCAGTGTAGGAGGGTCTGTTAGGGTGTAGGAGGGACTGTTGCAGTGTAGGAGGGTCTGTTAGGGTGTAGGAGGGACTGTTAGGGTGTAGGAGGGACTGTTACAGTGTAGGAGGTACTGTTAGAGTATAGAAAGGACTGTTAGAATGTAGGTGGGACTGTTATGGTATAGGAGGGACTGTTAGGGTGTTGGAGGGACTGTTGCAGTGTAGGGACTGTTATAGTATAGGTGGGACTGTTAGAGTGTAAGTGGGACTGTTAGAGCATAGGTGGGACTGTTATGGTGTAGGTGGGACTGTTAGAGTGTAGGAGGGACTGTTATAGTATAGGTGGGACTGTTAGAGTGTAAGTGGGACTGTTAGAGCATAGGTGGGACTGTTATGGTGTAGGTGGGACTGTTAGAGTGTAGGAGGGACTGTTATAGTATAGGTGGGACTGTTAGAGTGTAAGTGGGACTGTTAGAGCGTAGGTGGGACTGTTATGGTGTAGGTGGGACTGTTATGGTGTAGGTGGGACTGTTAGAGTGTAGGAGGGACTGTTGCAGTGTAGGTGGGACTGTTGTGTAGGTGGGACTGTTGCAGTGTAGGAGGTACTGTTAGAGTGTAGGAGGGACTGTTGTGTAGGTGGGACTGTTATGGTGTAGGTGGGACTGTTATGGTGTAGGAGGGACTGTTAGAGTGTAGGTGGGACTGTTAGAGTGTAGGAGGGACTGTTGCAGTGTAGGAGGGACTGTTGCAGTGTAGGTGGGACTGTTACGGTGTGGTTGTGCTCAGCTCAGCTCGACAAATGACCTACAACAGAGGAGACGAGTAGAGTGGCCAGAGGGGGTCTTAGCATTCATCCCAAGTGTAACTTGCAGTGTTGGGGTCAACAGTTGGCCGTGGTGGTCACCTTCCTGGAGCCTCACCAGGGCACTCAGCACCTGCACCAGCATCACCACCAACACCACCATCACCATTAGCATCACCACTGTCATCACCATCACCACCGTCACCATCACCTCCATCACCATTACCACCTCCATCACCATCACCACCTCCATTACCACCTCCACTACCACTGTCATCACCATCACCAGCACCACCGCCATCACCTCCATTACCACCTCCACCACCACCTCCATCACCACCTCCGTCACCAGTACCACCGCCATCACCTCCATCACCACCTCCACCACCACCGCCATCACCATCTCCATCACCAGCACCATCTCCACGCCACGTTTACTGACGGAAGGGACCCTGGAGCCTCCTCCCTCTGACTGCACTCAGCAGGGATCACCGAGCATTTGCTGCAGCTCTGAGTTTCCAAGCTCGAGCCTGCAGTTAGGCTTTTCAGACAGCGGACCAGACGAATGCCGGCACACGGCGTTTTTATTCCGTGATTCCAGCGGCACTTACCGTGGGTGAATTGAACTGTAGCTAACACTCCAAGGAGGAACTGTTTCGTGCAGTGTACGTTGCATCTCACATGCAGCGAACTGCAGGTGATCCGTGCGTGTGTGTGGCTGGGAGCTTTGTCCGCGGTGGCATCTGTTTTCAAGTGCAATGCGTGTGTGTTGTTGACTGGCCTACGTTAAGATGACTGTAGTTCTTAAGAGGTGGAACGTACACGTTGGAGCCATAGCCAGCACTGCACAGATGTCCTGTGTTGTTTTCCCCATGTAGTATCTGCATGAAAACGGGATTGTGCATCGCGACCTCAAACCAGAGAACCTGCTCTACGCCACGCCAGCCCCAGACGCACCACTCAAAATTGGTGAGAGCATGCCCGGGCCCCGGGACCCCTTCCCCCCGAGCAGAGACGCGGGTTCCACGGGACGTCCAGCGTCGCCTGCCTTCACTTCCCTCGCAAGCTGGAAAGAAGGAGGCCTTGTTTTGAGGGGTGGAGGGGTGCTGATTCCCGCTGGTCTCACGGGAAGTTGGTGTGGGGAAGCTGGTGGTCAGCTGCCACATATGGGGGCGGGGGGCCCAGCTCAGTGGGGTAGACAGACAATCCCTGGCTTATTTTTTTCTTTTTTGGTTGTCAGATTCTGTTCTCACATTGTTTGAAGCGCAGTTTTAAATGCCCGAGAGCTTCAACACAAGAGTCTGAGTGTAGCTCTCCAAAGCAGACGCGTGATGCACCCCCGGGGTAGACTCTCCTTAGCCGACTGTATCCATGCGTGCGGGGCCTTGCACTGCCGGCCATTCCTGAGGTAGACTCTCCTTAGCCGACTGTATCCATGCGTGCGGGGCCTTGCACTGCCGGCCATTCCTGAGGTAGACTCTCCTTAGCCGACTGTATCCAGTGCGTGCGGGGCCTTGCACTGCCGGCCATTCCTGAGGTAGACTCTCCTTAGCCGACTGTAACCAGTGCGTGCGGGGCCTTGCACTGCCGGCCATTCCTGAGGTAGACTCTCCTTAGCCGACTGTATCCATGCGTGCGGGCCTTGCACTGCCGGCCATTCCTGAGGTAGACTCTCCTTAGCCGACTGTATCCAGTGCGTGCGGGGCCTTGCACTGCCGGCCATTCCTGAGGTAGACTCTCCTTAGCCGACTGTATCCATGCGTGCGGGCCTTGCACTGCCGGCCATTCCTGAGGTAGACTCTCCTTAGCCGACTGTATCCATGCGTGCGGGGCCTTGCACTGCCGGCCATTCCTGGGGTAGACTCTCCTTAGCCGACTGTATCCATGCGTGCGGGGCCTTGCACTGCCGGCCATTCCTGAGGTAGACTCTCCTTAGCCGACTGTATCCATGCGTGCGGGCCTTGCACTGCCGGCCATTCCTGAGGTAGACTCTCCTTAGCCGACTGTATCCAGTGCGTGCGGGGCCTTGCACTGCCGGCCATTCCTGAGGTAGACTCTCCTTAGCCGACTGTATCCATGCGTGCGGGGCCTTGCACTGCCGGCCATTCCTGGGGTAGACTCTCCTTAGCCGACTGTATCCAGTGCATGTGGGGCCTTGCACTGCCGGCCATTCCTGGGGTAGACTCTCCTTAGCCGACTGTATCCAGTGCGTGCGGGGCCTTGCACTGCCGGCCATTCCTGAGGTAGACTCTCCTTAGCCGACTGTATCCATGCGTGCGGGCCTTGCACTGCCGGCCATTCCTGAGGTAGACTCTCCTTAGCCGACTGTATCCAGTGCGTGCGGGGCCTTGCACTGCCGGCCATTCCTGGGGTAGACTCTCCTTAGCCGACTGTATCCATGCGTGCGGGGCCTTGCACTGCCGGCCATTCCTGAGGTAGACTCTCCTTAGCCGACTGTATCCAGTGCGTGCGGGGCCTTGCACTGCCGGCCATTCCTGAGGTAGACTCTCCTTAGCCGACTGTATCCAGTGCGTGCAGGGCCTTGACTGCCGGCCATTCCTGAGGTAGACTCTCCTTAGCCGACTGTATCCATGCGTGCGGGGCCTTGCACTGCCGGCCATTCCTGAGGTAGACTCTCCTTAGCCGACTGTATCCATGCGTGCGGGGCCTTGCACTGCCGGCCATTCCTGAGGTAGACTCTCCTTAGCCGACTGTAACCAGTGCGTGCGGGGCCTTGCACTGCCGGCCATTCCTGAGGTAGACTCTCCTTAGCCGACTGTATCCATGCGTGCGGGGCCTTGCACTGCCGGCCATTCCTGGGGTAGACTCTCCTTAGCCGACTGTATCCAGTGCGTGCGGGGCCTTGCACTGCCGGCCATTCCTGGGGTAGACTCTCCTTAGCCGACTGTATCCATGCGTGCGGGCCTTGACTGCCGGCCATTCCTGAGGTAGACTCTCCTTAGCCGACTGTATCCATGCGTGCGGGGCCTTGCACTGCCGGCCATTCCTGAGGTAGACTCTCCTTAGCCGACTGTATCCATGCGTGCGGGCCTTGCACTGCCGGCCATTCCTGAGGTAGACTCTCCTTAGCCGACTGTATCCAGTGCGTGCGGGGCCTTGCACTGCCGGCCATTCCTGGGGTAGACTCTCCTTAGCCGACTGTATCCAGTGCGTGCAGGGCCTTGACTGCCGGCCATTCCTGAGGTAGACTCTCCTTAGCCGACTGTATCCAGTGCGTGCGGGGCCTTGCACTGCTGGCCATTCCAGGCCTTCTCTCCACAGTCTGCATTCTCGAGGTGACGTTGTGACAGCTCGGCCATTCAGCCGAGGCTCAGCACAGGGAGCCTTGGAGGAACCTGAGGCCTGAGGAGCTGCGCCTTGGCGCCATCGCTCCCGGGAGGCAGGGATGGCATTGGGGGATGTGGGGGGGTGTTCCCTTGCCTTTGCCGTCCCTTTCAGGGACTGGAGCCCTAAGAGACATTTGTTAAGGTGGATGGAAGACGGGCAGACCCCACGGGCAGGCGGGAGAGCCCCTCCTCCTGCAGGCGTGCTGCTGCCGCTGCTGGAGACGGGCTCCCGGTACCAGCTCGGGGGAGCGGCCAGGCCGCGTCCCAGTGTGACCACAGGACTCTACACAGCTCATGTTCCCAGGAAGAGAAAGAGAGGATTTTGCCACAAAGAGGCTTAGATTCTTCATGTGAGAATAGATTCTAATTACAATGCCTAGAATTGACGTGTATTTTCAGGCAGAATAAACTTTATCTCTGTTTCTGTCCTTAAAAAGTTTAACTTGCTGTCTCAGTGGGCGAAAAGGCTCTGCATTACATCCCTAATCCTGTAGTATCCCTCTACCCTGAGGTCTCAGCGTGAGTACCACCACAGAAAACACAGCTCTTAGCACCGTTGCTTATGTGCTGAGAGCCGGCAGCAGGGGAGGGGCGGAGGTTAGCGCAGTGTTTTGGAGCCGTCTCCAGGCTCATTCGAGGTGACCCGCCCACCCTCACGGCCTCACACCGGCGGGCAGGCACGCACACGTGCTGGCTGCATTTCTGCTCTGTCACGTGGTGCGAGCCGAGAAGACACTCCCATCACCGCATTTCTCTCTTGTGTTGTCAGCTGATTTCGGACTCTCCAAAATCGTGGACCACCAGGTGCTCATGAAGACCGTGTGCGGCACCCCTGGGTACTGCGGTAGGCGCCCTACCCCAGCTGGGACGTGGGGGCTGCTTTGGGGGGGCCCTCTGCCATCTCCTGCAAACCCTGGGCCCTCCCCCCACAAGGGCTCTGGGGCGGTTGGGCAGGGGCCAGGGCTGGGCTGTGAGGGGTGTAGTTGTGGCTGCTCTGGGCACAGGCAGGAAGGGAGGACCCCGACCCGGAGGTGGGCAGGGGCCTGCGGAGCTGTCCCAGCGGCCAGCAGGTTGTCACGGTCCTGCCGAGGTTTCCCTGGCAGGGCACGGGAGGTGGGCGTTGCTGAGGGCATGGCAGGCAGGACACGAGGCCGGCAGTGAGGGTGGGTGGCCCCGGCTCTCAGGGCGCTGGCCTCGCGCACTAGGGCAGGCCGTCGTGGGCTCTCCTCACCAGGGCCCCATCCCCGTGGATGGACTGCACGCAGCATTCTGCTGGGTGGGATGCACCCCTGCCTCTTAGCTCTTTCCTTGGTGGCTGGGTGAATCCACACAGGCTGCGGTCCGTGACGTCACAGACACATCAGAGTCAGGAACAGGTGCTCATTAATGCATGTGGCGCGGATCATGCAAACTGTGATTGGTTGTGAGGAAAAGAAATGACAAGTTAGCACTCACAGGACTGGAATCACTCCAGCCCTGCTGTTTGGTAGGAGAGGCCGGGCTGTCTCTCATCCCCTCAGCCCTGCTGTGTGGTAGGAGAGGCCGGGCTGTCTCTCATCCCCTCAGCCCTGCTGTGTGGTAGGAGAGGCCGGGCTGTCACTCTTCCCCTCAGCCCTGCTGTGTGGTCAGGTCAGGCCTGGGCACCTGGGAGGCACCTGTGCTGCCATAGCCCTGCTCCAGGGCCTGCAGTCTCGGAGGGTGTGGACACACCTAACAGAAACAATTGCACCTGGCAACCCGGAGGTGGCCACAGCGTGTGGAAAAGTGTGAGGTTTGCAAGGAAGCGCATTGCGGGAGACACTCGTCCTACGTGACCGTCACGTGTGCCTTGGCGTCAGCCCCAATTAACTGCACAGGTAGCTCACGGGGTGTCCGCAGAGGTCAGAGGTGAGAAGAGCGGTAAGAGCTTCCCTGAAGGCAGGTGCCATGAACGCCCTGACGTGACCCCAGGTGTCACGGCCGCTCACCCTGGCTGTACGGAACCAGAGGGTTCCGCCACTCCCCGGGACGCCGCTGTGACCGCCAGCGTGGAGGGAGCAGTGCCCGGTGTGCAGGGTCTGTCAGATGCAGTTTCCTCCTTAAACCCTGTGCAGACCAGGCCAGTGATCACCGAGCACGCTGGCTTTTCCAGGTGTCCCCTCTTCTTTGTTAAACCTCGGGGCAGTCCTCGGTCCCTGAAGAATTAGAAACGAAACGCCTGTGGCCTGTGCCCCTGCGGCCGTGAGCCCCCGTCTCCCCCGTGCGTCTCCCGTTTGCTCCACGCACGTCACCCTTTCCTCCTGCGAGCTCGTTTCCCTGGGGAACGTCACAGGTCGTCTCCACGCACTCGCTTTTCCAGAAAGCCGCTGCCCACACAGGGGCGGCGTCCCTGGCTCTCAGGTGAAGCCTTGCCTGACGTCGTGAGTCCTCGTCCAGCCCTTCGGCTCCTGGGGGCCAAGGTCAGATGAAAGTCGGCTTGGGGGAACTCGGGAGAGCTGTGGCTCCAGGAGACAGGCGTTCATTTCTCTCCCTGGGGCGTCCCTGGGGCGGCTCTGTGGGCTCCGCAGCCCCCAGGATGGGGGACCCAGGCTCTGCGGGCTGCGTGAAACCGTCCTCCCTCTGCAGTCTACACGCAGGAAGGAGCCTGGAAAGGGGCGGCTGCCCGCCCGCAGCTGCACGGACTGGACTGGCGGCAGCCACGTGTTGCTCATACTCACGTGGCTTTGTCTGCCTGTGGTCACGGCCAGGCAGGAGCACGCGAGGGCTCTGTCCCCAGCTGGCCTCATCCAGCCTGGCTGCTGTAAAAAGACAGCGTAGAAACAGCAGAGCTGTGTCGCTCCCAGCTCTGAAGCTTAGGGCGTCCAGAGGAAGGCACCAGCGTGTGTGGCGAGGACGCCTCCAGGCGCGCAGGCGGCAGCTCATGGCCGTGTCCTCACTGGGTGGAGTGAGAGGTCCCCTGGGCCTCCTGCCACCGTCCTCTGGGCACTGGGAGTTTCAAGCCATGAACCGGGGTGGGGGCGTTGGGGGGCCACAGGCGCTCAGAGTGGGGGGTGGGTAGGAAAGCTCAGACCTATACCAGACACAGAAAGACCCACATGTGGACAGTGAACATGCAGAAATGTTGCATAGTTCCAGGCTTGCTGCAGGCGCCCGCCTGTGTTGTGTTGTTGAGTTTTCTTGGAGCTTTTGCCGACAGCCTGTCCACAGCTTTCCCACCTGACAGCGCCACGCGTGCCACGTGTGTCTCCCCTTCAGTGCACGTGTCCTGACTGCTGCTGCTCCTCCCCATGCCCTCTCTGCTTCCAGGTCTCCCAGACGATGGGGTGGGGCGGAGGGAGCCCTGGATTCAGTACCGCGTGCCCAGCAGGGCGGGCAGTGCTCATCACTGATCACTGAGCAGTTGACAGGAGTGGAGGAGAATTGAGGACAGGATTTGAAACAAGTCACAGGTTGCCCACAAGGCAAAGCTGTGGCTCGGTCCTCTTGTCTAACACAGACACTAGGAACTCCCAGGAGTGTGCTGGCTCGGACAGCTCCCCGATGGCTGGGTCAGGACGAACCGCTGGGGACCTCTGGCTGAGAGACAGCAGCACCCTGGCACGGTCATGCCACCCGTGGCGGAAGCAGTTCTGTCTGGCAGCACCCATGGCCTTGCCCTCCGGGGAGGAAGGGCGGCCTGCACTCGAGAGCACCAGGTTTGGTGCAGTGACTTCTCTGTTCCTCTGAGCCCGGGCATCTGGAGCGGGGGCAAGCTGGCAGCTCCGCTGGAGCCAGGCATCTGCGTGGCCACAGCAGGACGAGGAGGAGCTCGGCCAGTGAAGAGGAGGCCGGGACACGGGGAGAGCCAGGCCACGGAGGACTGGCAGGTTGCGGCCGTCGGTCACTGTGTCACCTGGCACGGCTGGAACACGTTACAGATGAGGCTAGAAAGGCGGGGTGTGCATCTACATCGGGTTGCAGGAGTCGGACTGGGCTTTGTAGGCAAGCTCTTCAGTCAGGCCGTGTTTCAGGATCATCTGAATCTGGTAAGCACTGTGATGAGATCGCGACACCTCGTAGCAGGTGGCTTTGGGAGGAAGGGAAGGCAGCCGAGTTGGAGTGCGATCGTGAGTGCTCGCGGTCTACACACAGCTTCCCGGCCGATGCTCTACACGACCTACCCTTAAAGCCAGTCGTTTATAAAAGCTGTACTAGGATTCAGCGTCAGGCCCTAACAGGAGGCTTCTGTTTGTCTCCCTTTGTGGCGGGGAAGGAGGGAGCTGGTGGCTGAACGTGGTAGCAGTGACCTCTGCACTCCAGGGTCACCTAGCTCGGCAGGAGGTATGGGAGGTGGGTGGTCACGGCACAGAAGGCAGGGGCAGGACAGGTGCTGTGTACCCGTGTGGTTACCTAAGCTGGGGCAGGGCAGGTGCTGTGTGCCTGTGTGGTTACCTAAGCTGGGGCAGGCCAGGGGCTGTGTGCCCGTGTGGTTACCTAAGCTGGGGCAGGCCAGGGGCTGTATGCTCATGTGGTTACCTAAGCTGGGGCAGGGCAGGGGCTGTGTGCCCGTGTGGTTACCTAAGCTGGGGCAGGCTTCAAAGTCGGAAGCAGGCTGAGTGCACTCAGCTACGGCAGCAAGGTCCAGGCTGTGTGCAAACACGCGTCTGACCACGAGGAGCACCAGGAACATGGCCTCTGCGTGAGCAGGCAGAGGGCAGCGTGGGAGGGGGCGTGTGTGCATGGTGACTCCGGAACCGGGCGAGACCTGGGCCCGGGAAAACAGATGCCGCCTCCAGGAGCCACACCAGGGTTCTGGATTTAACAATTTGCAGCGTAGCAAAGAGTTGTGTTCGTCAGCCTTGTGGGAAATCGGGTGCTCGCGTGGAAGGCCAGCGTCCCCCCGGAGCGTGGCCCTGCGTTCCAGCCCTCTCTGCCCCATGCCTGTGGGTGCCGAGGATCAGCAGGTGGAGAGGAAGCCGCCCACTACAGGAAGGGCCGACAGTGGGGCCCACGTCCAAAGCTGGCGAGAGCGCGGCGTGCAGGTGTTCCTTTGCTGGGTGGTGAGTCAGGTGGGCACGAGGGGGACCGCAGAAACAGTCACCCATGACACCCACGGGTGCTACGGGCAGGGGCGGGGCTCAGCACACAGGGCCACAGCTGGTCAGGAAGAGGAAGACTGGAGCTGGGGCGGGGCCCTGGCGGGGCAGGTGAGCAGGCTGGGGTCAGCCAGGGCCGTCACTTTGGTGGGGTGGTTCCTGGGTGCCCCTGTGTGACTGCCGGACAGCAGTTGCCTCCCGGGTGTAAGGGACCCTGTGGAGGAGCCTGGCTCTGGCTGAGTGTGCGGGTCAAAGGTGGGCCCTAGGCGGGGCCCTCTGTATCCTTAACCATTATCCAGCCCTAGTCTTCGCAGCCAGAAGGGGTTGTTTTTTTTTAAGATGTCAAAAACATCATAATAGACTGAAAATTGTTAAATGGTGTGCCCAATCTAAAGCAAGCTGCAGGCTGCAGAAAGAAAAGCCGGGGCCCAGGTAGGGGCTCAGTGCCCCGGGTTCTAAGTGGTCCACAGACACTGAGTGGGCGCTCGGCATCCTGCTGGGAAAGGAAAGGGACCCCAGAGGGAAGGGAGGAGGGGAAAAGAGAGGGCAGGGACAGACAGAGGTGCCTGCCTGGCCCTGGCCTGCGGAGCAGGAGCTGCCGTGCCCGTCCTGCGGCGACGGCACCAGGGCACTTGCACAGCCCACGGGGAAAGGAGTCCAAAGACATTTCCTTTGGTCAGGAGAACTTTGAAATCCAGGTGCTGCTTTTTCATCATACACACCCCATGAACTTTTTGAGGACCCCTTATGCAAGTTATTTGAGTGGAAAATAACCAATGTGGAGAGAGTG